ATGTTTTGGTGGGACTTGATTTAACCCAATGCAGGTGGTGATTACAGGTATCCTTGTGTTGTTCCTTTCTTTACAAAGGGGATCATTTTGAGTTGTCATAGAGCTTTTTGTTGTTGTTGTTACATAGCAGGATGATATAATGATATACATTTTTGTTCAGTGTATATTGAATTTTTTAATTCTTTTCTGCATTTGTTGAAGTAAAAATTTTTTTCTTGCATTAAACCAATAGATTTTATTACCTTAAGCCAATATCATACCCCAACTTGCCCATACTTTATGTTTTTTAGCATATATTGGTTGTTAACATTCAGGCATGTTTATTCAGTGGTAAGAATGACCCGTTCTTTTCTCTTTTCCTATATAGCATCCTTACTGGGCCTGAATATCAGAGATACTTTACACTGGCTTCACAAAGTAAAGTGGCCTGTGCCCCCCTTTTTCTTTATTCTTAGGAGGATTTGTTACGCAGAGCGTGAGTTCTGGGCCTCACAGGTCAGGCAGCCTCTGGCTGGTGCCTGCTCTGCGGACAGACTGCAGGGAGCCCTCCTGGGCCAGCTCTCCTCACGTGGCTGTGGGCCAGGGAAGACGCAGGCCTAGAGGCCGGCAGAGCTGCCTCAACAGGCCTTTGTGGAAAGAACGCGCAAGTTCTGCGGTTTTTTGGAAACTTAGGGTCATAAACATCTGTGGCCGCAGGAATGGACTTGTTTTAGAGCTCAGCTCTGGGTGAGCTAAGGAGCCCAGAGGTGAGAACAATCAGCGAGCTCTTGAGACGTCGCAGGTGCTTGCTTGGGGAGAAGGATGAGAACTCCGCTTTGTCATTTTCAGAAATGTTCATCATAAAGACTGTATCCCTAGAAGGACAATGTCATGGTCTCGATTTGGTAGAAAGTAATTACCGGCGTTTTTATTCTGGCCTTTAGTACACATTGCTCTGTAATTTGTCTATATTTCTGGTCTCATTTCCTTAGGGAGATTAGAAATCCCCGGGGAAATGAGACAATGCCTTGTGGCTGTCTGTTTCATTTTGCACCCTGTGAGAGGGACTTGCTGCCTCAGTAGTATTTTCCTTATTTAAATTGTGGTCTGTGAAGATACTAACATTTTGCAGTTTCTTTGTGTGACGAGGTACGCAGTTTGAGGCTTTTTGATAAAATATGAAAATAATTAATCTTTTAAATTCCAGCCGTGCTTTTAATGTGAGGTTCTAACAGAAAGTTTCAATTTGCGATCAGTGGGAGACAGAGTAAAAGAGTGCTTATGTACCTTCGGGAAACTTTGCACAATTTTAGTTCATTAGTGCTTGTGTGTAGTACCTAGTATTTACATTCCTTGTGCGGACTTGGTACAAGTATGTAGCACATCTTCATTCCTTCTTTTATCTCCTTTCCTTGCCTTCCCTCCCCTCTCCACCCATCCCTTGGTCCCCTTCCTTTTTTTCCTGTATGTGTTTGCAGCACACGTTTACACTCCTTGTGTGCAGTTGGTACATGTACACACACGTCCCAGGGGCCAGTAATTCGTCCGGGATCCCTTTCCTCCCTCTCTCTGCACTCTTCATCTGTGAACTGCTTCCCCTCTGGGATGATCCGTCTCCCTTCTTCCTGGTATCTTTTATTTTGCTCTTCATTTTCACTCTGGGTTTCTCAAAGAAGGGAAACCATATGATATTTAAATTGTGTCTCTGATTTATTTCACTTAACATTATGACCTCAAGGTGTGCGCCTGTTCTCACAATTGACCAAAGTTTTCCTTTGTCTCGGAGTAGTACTCCATTGTGTGTAAATACCACATTCTCTTTATCCATTCATCTGTTGATGCTCCATCGTTTGGGCCACTTCCAGGTTCAGCTGTTGTGAGCGCTGCTGTAAACATGCATATGCGTGGAGCACTGAGAGATGATGTCTTTAACACTTTCAGGAGGGTACCTAGAAGGGGAATAGCTGGGTCAAGTGGAATTTGAATCTCCATACTGATTTCCATAGTGGTTATGCTAGTTCACAGTCCCATCAACAGAGTAGAAAGCTTCCTTTTTCCCTACAGCCTCCCCAGCATTTGCTATTATTTGAGTTCTTGATGATGCCATTCTTTCTGGGATAAAATGGAATCTTAGTGTTTTAATTGCATTTCTCTAATGGCCAGCCACGTTGAGCATTTTTTCACGTGTTTATTGGCCATTTACATTTCTTCTGTGAAGTGTCTGTTCATATCACTTGCCCATTTTTTGATTGGGTCTTTTATTTTGGCGATCTAATTTTTTTAGTTCTTTATATATTCTAAATATGAGTCCTCTGTCTAAGGAGCCACAGGCAACATTTTTTTCCCATTCTGTAGGCTGTCTTTTCACTGTTGGTTGTTTCTTTTGCTGAGCAGAAGCTTTTTAATTTAGTGAGATCCTGTTTGTTCATTCTTGGAACTATTTCCTGTGCAACTTGGGTTCAGTTCAGAAAATCCTTGCCTACGCCTGTAACCTCAAAAGTTTTACATACCTTGTCTTTTAGCAGGTTAAGTGTTTCTGGTTTACTAGTAGTTCTTCAATACATTTGACTTTAATTTAGTACCTGGTGAGAGATGTGGGTGCAGATTCAGTCTTCTGCTTGGGGATAGCCAGTTTTCTCAACTCCTTAGGGAAACTTTCAACTTCATTACCACATTGAAACCTGCAAGTTAGACTCCAGGAAGCTGGACTTGGTGAGAATGTAGAGTTGTGGATTAAAAGTTATCTTTTCATGATTCGTATTTTAACTGCCTAAATATGTCAGTGAACTAACACATAGAATTTCTCAACTGCTTAAGTGAATAAACTATGTTGAAGGTACAGAATCAGCTTTTATTTTTTATTTAATTTTTGCTTTTTAAAATTACAGTTTAATTACTAAAGCAGGTCTTTTACTTAAAGACTTTAACTAGGATACTTACTATTAGCAGTACTTGAGTAACTAGTTAGCACATAATGAAACAATATTGCATTTCTTTTTTACATGGAATTATGGCTTTTTAATAAGCCACATGCTTTTCTTACAGCTTCCTTTCTCCTTCCCTTCTCTCCACTCCAGTACTTAGACTAAATGCAAAGTGTTTTCTTTTTGTAGCAAATGTACACTTTGTTTAGTTTATCCTGTACACTAAGTGAAGACAGAGGCTACAATTACAGACATTCTGCTTTTAAGAAGATAGATAGGAGGAGTTTGGTTGTAGGTGCTGGAAGCTTGCTTTTCTATTTTTGCTGTAAAGGGAGCGATACAGTTGAAATTGTGGGAAGCAGAATTGGTTTTCCTGCCATTTCCAAAGACAGCCCTGATTGATCAGCGGTGAAAGAAGGATTTCGTAGCATTCCCGCAGCTTTCTTTCACCGGGATGTCTCCAAGCCTACATTTCAACACTGGGTTTTACCCATTGGCATTTTAATGGAAAACATGTTGTCTAGGTGGGGTTCTACTTGGGCAATAGTGACAACGGGCAATAGTGTTTAAGACGCTCGTGCCAGAGATTATTGGGAGGCCTGTGGGAGTCTTCACCAGCTGTCCTGGCCGAGCCCTGTGGCCAGGGGACAGGGGACATGGTGCCTCCTCTGAGGGGCCCTTGGCGCCTCAGCGCTCTGTTCTTCGCCCCTTTCCGTGGTCTCCCCAAAGCCGATCGCAAGTCGGGTCGGTGAGTGTGACCTGCAGGGCACGGTGTACCTGCTGACAGCTGGCTGCCCTCCGCGAGGTGAGCGGGGAGCCCGGCGCTGGCGAGCCTTTTAGGGCCTTTGCTGATACCGACAGCCCACTGCCGCACACGTGCACGCTGCAGGGCTACCACCAGCGAGGTAGCCCATCTCTGAACAGACGGGCAGGGTTCCCGGGCGCCTGGCTTGCAAGGAGACTGGGGGTGGAGGCAGGGTGGGGACTGGGAGAGTTGATTCTCGTGGTGGGATTGCAGACTTCCACAGAGCGCTGTGTGCCCAGAGGAAGTGTTTTACCTGAGCCGATTTACTGAACCCTAAGACAGCCAGTGACGGAGGTGCTTTTATTTTTAAGCTCATTTCACAAAGAGCTCATTTGGGCTGGAAAAGCCCAACTGTATCAGTTTGTGCTGCTCCAAGGTGCCTTGCACTGGGTAAATTGCAAATGCTCGAGGTTTGCTGCTCACGGTTTAGAGGCAAGGTCCTGGAGGGTTCATGGTGCGTGAGCGCCTTGGTCTTCTCGGACGGTGGCTTCCAGCCGCATCGTCCCGTGGTGGAGCGGGCAGCCGAGCTCTCTCGGGCCTCTCTGACAAGAACGCTAACATTCCTGCGCGCTCTTTACCTGCCTGGTGCCCACCGCCCTGGACACCACCCTAGAGGTGCAGTCTCCATGTGAGGACGCCAGCACTCAGATAAGCACCCCAAGCACTTGCTCATGAGACAGGAAAGGGCAGGAGGGACCCCGAAGTGCCCAGGCCTGCGTGTGCTTCCTTGGGGGCCCGTTTGGCTCAGGGGAGGGGAGCTGGAGTCTCCCTCCTGTGTCCCACCGTGGATGGAAGATGTGGTGGAGTCCTGAACTATGGGAGTTGAAAGCTTCCCAAAGCTTCCCTGAGGCGTGGATTTTGGATGTTTCTGGGGTGTCCCAGCCTTGCTGGGGCGCCAGAGGAGCGAATGCGAGCTCACACAGCCATGGGAGCTGGGGAAGGCGGGCGAGGGTCTCCGTGCCTTTCTCAGGAGTCACTGTGTCCCGCGGTCCCTGGGTGAGAGCCTGTGCTGGGGTCCTGCTGCTGGCATGTCTCCTGGCCCTGCGGAGGCCGCCTTCTTGGCTCTCGGCTCTGTGGCGGGGGGATGGATTTCCCCACAAGCACATGTGTGTGTACTCTTCCTGGGGTTCCCTGCCTGCCGGGGAAATCTTTCTTTCGTTTTACGGACAGCCTCACATTGTTTTCTGCAGCTGACATGATACACAGGGAATTGGTGGATCCATACTGCCCTGGCGCGTGTCTTCCTGCTCCTTGTCCCGCTGAGGCTCACGAGCCCCCTTTCTCTTCCGCAGGCCACGCAGCAGACATGATGAACATCAAGGCTTTCACGCTGGTCTCCGCCGTCGAGCGGGAGCTGCTGATGGGCGACAAAGAGCGCGTTAACATCGAGTGCGTGGAGTGCTGTGGCCGGAACCTCTACGTGGGCACCAGCGACTGCTTCGTCTACCACTTCCTGTTGGAGGAGAAGGCACTGCCCGCGGGCACTGCCGCCTTCAAGGCGACCAAGCAGCTGCACAGACACCTGGGGTTCAAGAAGCCTGTGAGCGAGCTGCGCGCGGCCTCGGCCCTCGACAGGCTGCTGGTGCTCTGCGACAGCTGCATCTCCCTGGTGGGCATGCGCAGCCTGGAGCCCGTGCCCTCGGGGGCGCGCATCAAGGGGGCCTCCACCTTCGCTCTCAACGAGAACCCCGTGGGCGGGGACCCATTCTGCGTGGAGGTCTGCATCCTCTCAGTCAAGCGCAGAACCATCCAGGTGTTCCTGGTCTATGAGGACCGCGTGCAGATCGTCAAGGAGGTGTCCACGCCGGAGCAGCCCCTGGCCGTGGCTGTGGATGGCCACTTCCTGTGCCTGGCCCTGAGCACACAGTACATCATCCTCAACTACAGCACGGGCCTCTCGCAGGACCTGTTTCCTTACTGCAGCGAGGAGAAGCGGCCGATCGTCAAGAGGATCGGTCGGCAGGAGTTCCTGCTGGCTGGCCCAGGCGGCCTGGGTGAGGACGGGGTCTGGGGGCTGCGCGTGCCTTTGGGGAGCCTGTGCAAGCGGCTGCGGGAGGGTGTATGCTTTGCAGGGGAACAGCCGCACATGGCCTGGCGGTGGGGGCCTTCTGCAGAAGGTGCGGTGGCTGGACGGGGGTCACTGAGACCCCGGCACTTGGGAGGGAGGCAGGAGGGAGAAGCGTGTCCTTAGGGGACTGTGGCACTGTGCGGCCACTGTAGCGCAGACTTCCGCAGGCCGAGGCAACCAGGACATCACCGTGCATGGTGAGCTCACCCGGGGCCATGACAGACACGTGGCACAAGGCCAGGCCAGAGGGCTGCTGGCCAGTGTGCTAAAGCCCTGCCGGGTCCGATGTGGGTCAGGATCCACAAGGACAGACTGGTCCTGAAACCAGTTTTACTCTGCATCCGGATGGAGCCTGCAGACCTCTCATTGTGGGAGATTATTGTTTTGTTTTTAGCTCCTTTTTTATTAGTATATGTTTGGGATACATTATAATTACGTTCATTTTGGGGAACTGTTACTTCTATATATGGCATCTTAACTGTTATTTCTTTTAACTACAAAAGTAAAACTCTGCAAGACTCCCTTGTAAGATTTTCCCATATGGGTGGGTTTGTCTCTTGATTTCTTTTTCTCGCCCCCCCTCCATGCCGGGAATTGAACTCATCACCTTGCACTTGTGGGGCAGGCGCTGTGCCACTGAGCTAAATCTCCAGCCCATTTTTTTTTTTTCTTTTCTGGTGTTTTGAGACAGAGACTCCTTATGTAGTTTAGGCTGGCTTTGGACTCACATTTCTCCTCCTGCCTCAGCCTCCCAAGTGCTGGGATTATAGATGTGCACCACCCACCTGGCGTGTTCCTCGACTATTTTTATTCCTCATTCTGAAAAGGGGTGGAGGTAGCTCACTAAACATTTTCACATGTGTCAGTCAGCTTTCTGTAGCTATGACAAATTCCCAACACAGTCCACTTATAAAGTAGAAAGGTTTGCTTTGGCTGCTGCTGTAGAAATTCAGTGCTTAATTGGATGGGCCCCTGCTTTGCGCGTCTGCTGGGGGTGCTGATGGCAACCAGCCCACCTTGTGGCCAGCCAGGGAGTGAGAGGAGGACATAGCCCAGTGGCCTGAAGACCTCCCTCCGGCCCACTCCTGAGGTCCTGCCACCTCCCCAGGCCCACTCAGCTCTCAGAGCTGCACCTTGTCCTTGGGCCTTGGGGGCCACTGAGAATCCAGACCACAGCATCCTCATTTCTGTGATTTCTTCCCCAAAGCGTGTTGGTCAGTCGGCCTGTGAAAGGGCATGACTTGTTCCCGTGTGACCCCAGCCAGGCTCTGGTGGCCTTGCCGTGACAGCAGGCCAGGGGTGGTGCGAGGGCTCCGCTCTTTCCGTCCCAGTGGCTGCTGTCGGGGCTTGTGCGTACGCGTCTGCCCACGGTGCTCGTGAGAAGCGGCTCACTGGAGTGCGGATGTTCCCTGTGCAGACCGCTCAGCTCAGGGTGGTGAGTGCAGGGTGCTTTCTCGTAGGACAGAAGCACAGGTGTGAGCCGCCAGCAGACGCTGGTTAGGATTCACCTTGAAAACAGGCTTTCAGGGCGCTCGCGGCACACAGCAGCACGCAGAGCACTCTGCGCACCACCGTCCCCGTCCCCAGCACCCTGCTAGCGGCTTCTCGTCACCGACACATGGGCATCCCTCCTGGGTGTGCGCTGTGGGTCGGACACATGCATGAGGGCAAGCGCCCACCCCTGCCCTGGCATACGGAGCGGCGTCCCAGCCCTCCTCCCTGGAGGCCTCCAGAGCGTTGCCTTTCCTGGCTAGAGTCCTACAGGGGTGTAGCCTTCAGCCTGGCTGCTTTTTCCCGGCAGTACTGGGGACTGAACCCAGGGCTTTGCCCTCTACCGTTATTGGAGTCCAGGCCTAGGACCACCAATCTCCTGCTCAGAGGTGTGATGACAGAATAAAGCACAGACAAAGCATATATTTTAGTTACAAGGGGCACCAGGATGGTCAAAGCCAATGGCAGGCTGGGTGTGATGTCCCTGGCCTTCACTCGGTGCACAGCGTGATTGGGGGATGAGCTGGTGGTGCAGTCAAGGTTCAAGAACGGAGGGACAGTGCATTTTAGGAAGGCACACAGGAGGAGATCAGGGTAACTGGTAACCTGACTGTTTGCTGACTGTGACTGCTGAGCTAGACGGATTTGCACGCGTCCAGTCCTCTGCTATCATGTTATCTTGCTTTGGGGCGCCAGAACTTCACAGACTGTTTGCTGGCCTCAGCCCTGGCCATTGGTTTAAAGATTAATCTGTCCTGGGGCTGGGGATTTAGCTCAGCGGCAAAAGCGCCTGCCTGGCAAGCGCAAGGTCGTGAGTTCGATTCCTGGTACCAGAAGAAAAGACAAAAAAAATAAAAAATAAAAAAAATAAAGATTAATCTGTCCTTAAGCCAGTCGGGGGACCGGAAGCAAGTCATGCAGGCCTAGGACAGACTCTCAATTTACTTTTGTGCCAATTTATTAATATTAATATTGCCTGCTTGGACCGTGTCAAGCTGATCCTCAGCATACCATATCCTCTGGCCTGTTTATTTTTTATTTTGAGACAGAGTCTTACTAAATTGCCAGTCTGGCCTTGAATTTTCAGTCTTGCCTCAGCCTCCTGCCTGGCTGGGCTCACTGGCTGGGCCACCACACCAGCTTTGCATTGGTTTCTTTCCGTAGTAATGTGCGTTCAGGATTCTTTATGTCTTCTCACGGTTTGCTAGCTCAGACTTTTAGTTTCTTAAGGACCAGGTCTTTATCCTAACGGCTCTTTTCTTGGAACAAAAGGAAATACTTTGCGGTGGACGGAGAAAGGGTGATGAGCCGGTGCCGCAGCACTCGCTCTGGCTTTGGTCCGTCCTCACCCGCTGTCCGCCAGGCGCCGCAGCCGTCCATTGGCAAATAGTCCACACGAAGGGAAGTCACACTGTTATACCTAAAAACCCAACAGGCTCCAAGTTCACCTTGGCGAGCACATCCCCGTTAGCATACCTCATAGCGAGATATACATAGGCGCACACACCCTGCGTGCGTCTGCTCGTGTACATGTGCGATTTGTGCTCTTCGGTTCGTTTGAAGCATTTCCAGCCAAGGCCCACAGCTTGCGGTTGGTTGCTAGCTCTGTTAGGGTTTTTCCTTCAAGTGCCCCCTCCCCGCTGTACCTTAATTTTTGTTGAAGAAATTGGATGGTTTTACCCCTCACTTCCCAGTTTTTGATGGCTTTGCCTTCTCTGTTGTTTAAGTCTGGTGCTCTGACTTCTGTTTGCTGCACATGAGTGGTCAGGAGATTCGGGGGTTTTCGTTTGTGTGCTCCAGGGGAAGCAGGACTGCGTGGTGGGGCTCCAAGGGGTCGGCCCTGTGTGGTGGGAACAGCTGCTGATGACCGTTGCCCACATCCATTCCGGCATGAGGGACAGCCAGCCTGCGGTGTTCTGCTTCTGTCCAGCCCTCCTTCCCATGCTGCGGGGAGCCCTGTGCAGGGAGCTGACCCCACGTGGTCACCCCACACGTTGTGGGAGAGAGAGGACAAGGCCCTGACGTGGCCCCGCCTGTGCTCTAGCAGTGACTGTGACAAGCTCCTGGGTGATCATGTGATCCGAGCTCCACAGCTGGGATGTGCCGGTTCTGCCCGGCCTGCCTAGGAGTTTATTTGGGTGGCTGCCTGAGCCCCTTGGACCTGCCCTTGGAAACCCGCAGCTCCCTGCTATCAGGTGAGCCCCGCTCGCCTGGATTTCCTGCCCCAGGTCTGGTTTCAGCCTTTCCTCCTGCGAGCCCGCTGTTTGCAGGCCACCTCCTGGCGCCCGCCGTGTCCAGGCAGGCAGTGCTGGCCTCCATCCTTTCGGGGTAAGCGAGGCGAGGAGGTTGGTGGACTTGTGCCTCTGTGCACATCCCCGCCCACCGCCCGCCGTGCCTGGTGCTCTGTTGTCTGCCGAGTCCGAACAGCAGTGTGCAGCCTTGCGGGCTGCTGTTCCCACAGTGCCATTACTGGGAGAGCCTGATTGCTGGCGGCGCCTTTGTCCTTAGGGTACCAGAATCAGAAAGCACAGTTCAGAGTCTCTGGGAATAGCTCCCCTCCGTGTGGGTATGCCACCACCCGATTACGTTTCCATTGATTGGTTTCGTTTTACTTCCAGATGTTAAGAAATTGCTTTGATTTTGTTTATTTTTGTTGTATAAGTATTTGCAGATTTCCAAGGCATGTGGGTACGGCAGGCTGAAGCAGAGCATCAGTGTATTTCCACACCACACCACCTCTCCTTCCTCGTTGGTAGCCTTTATTTTTAGGGCTTAGACATTCATTCTTGAAACCTATAAACAAGTGTGTATGGATTTGCATTTCTCTCTTTTTTGACTAAATGGTGGTATACTTTTCTTTACCTTGTTTTTTTACCTTAATATATTAGGGCGACCATTGTGTGGCATAAAATGGTTGTTTGAGATGGGGGTCTCACTGTGTTACCCAGGTTGGCCTCAAACTCTGGACTCCAGAGATCGTCTTGCTTCAGCCTTCCTAGTAGCTGGGACTACTGCCGCCCAGTTTGGTTTTGTGCTACTAGGGATTGAACCTAGGGCCTTCACGTTGATTTATATTCCCATCCTTTTTCATTTTTTGATTTTGAGACAGGGTCTTTCTAAGTTGCCAAGACTGGGCTCAAAGTTGTGACCCTCCTGCCTCAGCCTCCCAGAGTGCTGGGATTACAGACATGCACCACGGTGCCTGGCTCCCTTCACTTTTTTTTAAATACCTGCATGTCACTTAGCTGTGTGGTAATGCCACAGTTTATTCACTAGTCCCCTGTGGGTGGACGTTTGGGTTTTTCCTGGTCTTGGGCTACCAATCAGAATTTGCCGTGAGTGCACGTGTGTGTTTGCAGCATATCTCAAGCTTTCTCTAGGGAACTGCTGAGTCCCATATAAAAGTGCTTGGGGCTGGGGATTTAGCTCAGCGGCAAAAGCGCCTGCCTGGCAAGCGCAAGGTCGTGAGTTCGGTTCCCGGTACCGGAGAAAAACCAAAAAAAAAAAAGTGCTTGACCTTTGCTAGGTCTGACCGTACCCCTCTGCGTAAGGGTGGTCCCATTTTATGTTCTCCCCAGGATCGTGTGGCGGTGCCAGTTTCCCCAGCTTGCCAACACAGCTTGTTGCCCACAGCCCCGTGTTTTTGCCAGCTGGGTCCAGCAGGAGTGGCTAGGACATCTTTAGGAGCCATCTGCATTTCTTCAAATGGGTTTGCCAAGTATTCTGTTTTAAATCTATTTATTTATTTAGTTAGTTAGGTGCTAGGCGTGGAACCCAGGGCCTCATGCACACCAGGCAAACGCTCTACAACTGAGGTGTACACCGAGCCCAAAATCATCAGTTGTCAGTAGCCTTTTTAAAGGCTTGTTTATTTGTATGTTTGAGATATATCTCAAGTATATCTCAAATGTCCTTCTATATTTGATTTTATTTATTATTATTATTTATTTATTATTATTATTTATTATTATTTATTATTATTATTATTATTATTATTTATTATTATTTATTATTATTATTATTATTATTATTTATTATTATTTTATAAGATTTTATTAAAAAGTTCTCAGTAACCTACTATAGCAACCTTCATAGTTTCTGCCTCTGGATTTTGCGGTTACAGTTGGGAACGATTCCCCGTCCTCCCTGGCCTACACAGATCCACCCGTGTGTTTTCTGCACGTCCTCGCTGGGAAGAACAGAGTCGTTGCAGCTGTTATAAGGCTGCCCTGTTCCCCCCGCAAGCTGGTTGATGAGGCCACCTTCTCCGCCCTGATTGAGATGGCTGCCTTTCATGTACATGGAATTTCCTTGGTCCCCGTGTAGTGTGTGGATCTTCAGTGTCGTCCCGTCTGTCCCCTTGCGTGTCTCTGCCGGCCCCTGCCTGCTCTGCGCTGTAGGCGTCGCTGTTGGCTGGAGTGCTCAGGTGGAGGGGAAGTGGTCGGCATGTGTAGGCTCCTTTTCCCAGGGACGCTGTCTGCACTGCGTGGGCATTGTGGGAAGTGACATGACCTTCCTAATGGGCGTGCCGCTCGTACCTGGCACGACTGCACGCAAATTGAGAGGTCCCTTGTGAGGGACCTGTGTCCCGTGTTCCATAGGTTATTGATTCCGTGCAGTGATCACCGGCATCGTGCTGTGCCTCAGAGATCGGCACTTGCAGCACGTTCCCGCGTGAACGTGGACGTGCTTCCAGCTGAAAGCTCTGTTTCTGTGGCCTGCTGTCCCCTGAATAGAACGCATGACCACGCCTGTGTGGGGAGTTTGCTTCTCACTTTTGGCAAAGCAAATTTTCATAGTATAATGGCGGTGGCAGCTTTCACTGTTTCGCTTGTTGATGGTCCTGAAGAAAGCGGATGACTCAGGTGCTCCTCTACCCTAATCTTCCTGCATTAGCTCAGTGGAGGGACCCAGCCGAACGGCACGGTCCCCTTGAGGAGGGTCCTCAGGGGCCTGGCCACGCTTTCCCGTGGCCAGTGATGGCTCCACTCTGTGATTCTGAGAAAGCCTTGTTCTTGCCCTGGTTCCTGCCCTTCGAGTGAGAGCCTCTGCCCTGCGCAGCGCCCTGGGACTGTGCGGCCGGAAGTAGGAGGCTGTGGGATGCCGTCTGAGTACAGGACGAGGCCCGACGGTGCCGCGGACGTGGGCTGGAGAGCGGGCGTGACCGGGAGTGCGGCGGGAGGCCCAGGGCTGCTGTGCGCCAGCGCTCACGGGGTCACGTCCCAGCTGGTGGCGGGGTGGAGGCTGCGTCACGGCGCGGGGCCCCTCATGCCGCTCTTCCCCTGGGCGCTCGTTGCTGGCTGTTTCTAGTCCGTGGAGAATTGAAGACGGTGCTGACCCGACTTCCTGCTCCTCCATTTTGGACTCCTGGTGCACCTGCAGCTTTGCAGTGTGTTCCTGGCCTTGGGGATGCTGTGTTGGCACCTGGGTGTTAACTGCTGGCGCCTGGGTTAGTGTCCCCCAAGGCTGTGAAACAGAGGCTTGGGGCCAGGGAGGCGCCATTGCACGGCCTTGTGGAAGGTCCTTTGGTGAGTAGGTCTCAGGGGCCTGTGTGGCCCGGGCCCTCCTCCCCGCTTCCCTGACTCTGCATCCGGGATCCTGTGCTGGCGTCCGCTCGGCCGCTGCTCGCCCCGATCGCTGCCTCACTGAGGGGCCAAAGCCGTGCGGGCACTCCTGACTGAGCCACCAACCGTGGGCTAGGATCAGCTTTTCTCCTGGTACATTAATCTCCTCAGGCAGTGCATTGTGGGAAAGCAGACGAGAACACTTCTGTTGGGTCACTCACGTTCTAACTGCACCGTCTTTTACCGTGAAACGCTGGGAATGACACTGTGCCCTCGGGACAGACGGACGGCCTTTCGTTCACCTGCGCCTGCAAATCACAGCGCTCTCGCTGTTTTTCTCTGTGCTTGCATTGACCTGGACGTCTCATCGCACAGCGTAACTCTTAGCTCTGACACGAAGCGAAAATGCTCTGCATGGTCTGCCTTGCCCCAGCCTTTCGTTCTGCTCAGGGGTCGTGTGCCTGTGGAACATCTGTCACCGTTAGGGAGGGCGGTGCCAGCCCCCGAGAAAGACGAGAACCCTAGGCTCAGCCTCCCGGAAGTCTGACCTGTGCTCCGTGAGACCCGGCACACCTCCCAGCCAGCCTCATTGCTGTGTGCTGTGGGCCAGCCTGGGCCGCTCACCCACCTGTGGAGGCCCCGGCCCCCTCCTGCCCCTTCCCAGGAGGAGTTGCCAGGCTCGGGTTGACTTGCAGGGCTCCCCTGCCTGTGCTCTCAGTCCCGCCCTGTCTGTACTGACAAGTTTGTCAACGGCGGCAGCAGCACCCAGCCATTCAGAGTCCTGTTATTTTCAAAGATGCTTTATGCCACCGGCCTTGAAAACCAAGCTACAGTGCGCAGCTGTTCTTGGCAAACCTGGTCGTGTCGTGAACCCCAGAGTTTGTGCCTCGCTGACCAGACAGACAAGCTGCTGGTTAACGGGGAGGTGTCGAGCGAACCTCACTGCGTCTGCCGTGCAGTGCCGGTTCTCTCTATGGTTTGTACGTTGTTGGAGAGCAGACGTGTGCTGTGTGGAAAGGAGCAGAACCAGACCTATGCTCTGAGCCTGCCGGCGCCTGGCACGATGCCCAGTGGGCGCCTGGCACGTGGTGGGTGGCTGGGAGGCGTGCGGGGTGAGATGCGGAGCCGAGGCCGAGGCGGAGGCCTGGGTGCGTTGTTTGGAAAGTGGCTGCTCCTTCGCACACGCGCACAGTGGCCCGGCAGCCTGGGTGTGGTTACCTCCCGAGACAGGGTTCTGCTCCCCAGTCAAGTCCCGGGGGCTCCTGGCCCGCAGTGAGTACGCTTAGCTTCCCCTTCTCTAAAGGAGGCTGCAGGAAGTGCAGGGAGGCCTCTGCCTCCGCACCTGCCCGTGGCGGGGGCGCCCGCTCCTCTGAAGACCTGCCTGACTCTGCCCTCTGCTTTTCAGGCATGTTCGCCACCGTCGCCGGGATCTCGCAGCGGGCCCCCGTGCACTGGTCAGAGAACGTGATCGGGGCGGCCGTGTGCTTCCCGTACGTGCTTGCGCTGGACAGCGAGTTCATCACCGTGCACAGCATGCTGGACCAGCAGCAGAAGCAGACGCTGCCCTTCAGGGAGGGCCACATCCTGCAGGACTGCGAAGGTACTGTTGCCGGCAGCGTGGGACCTGCTCCCCAGGCTCTGCGACGGTGTCTCCTCGGGGAGTGTGGCTGCGGCCCGTGGGCACAGAGGCGGTGCCGGCTGCGGGAGCCAGGGTCCAGGCCCTGCGGCCCAAGCCACAGCAGCGAGGAGCTGGGTGCGGGCCACAGGGCCCCTGGGAGGGCAGAGGGCGGCGCTTCCGGGGGTGGGGCGCTGTGGAGGAGCCGCGCTGTGAGGAGGTGCCGCAGTGCTGCGAGGGACTTCCTGATGGGGGAAGGGTGTGCAGATCACTACCCGAGGGTCGGCACGGCGGAGGGAGGGGCATTGCCTTGGGGTGGTGTGTGCCAGTGAGGGAGCTGCTTCAGTTCCCTCAGTTTTATTTGGTGGGGGCAGGCATTGATGAGAAAAGAGGTTACTTTGGAGTTTAGGCTGGCTTTGAACTCACCACATAACCCAGCCTGGCCTTGAACTCACAACGGTCCTCCCGCCTCAGCCTCCCGAGTGCTGGGATTGCAGGTGGGTGCCACCACGCCCGGCTCAGTTTTATTTTATTTCGAACATTGTCATACGTAGAAACACCTCAGCTGCTGGGAATTTAACCGAGAAACACCGTCCCCACAGAAGCGTGTCAGATCCCCACGCGGGCGTCCGCACTCAGTCCTGCTCGGTGTCCTCGCGCTGGTTCTGGGCCCCTCAGGCCACCTTCTGCAGACACTCAGTCCCTCACACCGCAGGTGGAACCCGGCCACAGCCTCAGGCGCACTCGCCCCTCTGGGAGGCCGGCGGCGGGGTAGATGCTGGGTACACAGCTTTCTTCCCCCTGACTAGGGAAGGCGTTGAGGAAAGGTCTGAAGGTGTCCAGTTCACACTCAGATATTTTGCCGTTTCTGTGGTTCTGGGGATTGATCTCAGGGAGCCTGCACTGAGCTACAGATGCCATCTTTTTTCCCAAATATCCCCGATTCCCATGTGTCTGGTCGCAGAGCCTGCGGGAGGAGCCGTGCGAGCTGAGTGTGGAGGTCAGGGGCACTAAGGACGTGACACCAAGCGGAGGGGGACAGCGGGGGTGGGGGTGAGAACAACAGCCCGCACTGGGGCACGGAAAGCGAAGATAAGGGACCCGCTGCTTCTGGGGAGCGGAAGTCGCAGAGCCGGGGCCTCCTGAGGGGGAGCAGCTGGTCCCAGATCGCGGGCCTGACTCCCCTGGACTGCCTGTGGGCTCTCACGGGACAGGACAGCGACAGTGAGGACAGGCGGCCTGGGAGGGGAGCTGGCGGGCTGTCAGAGTGGGCGGAAGGTGAGCGGGAAGCACTCACTGGTCCGAAGATTGCGCTGCAGTTGTAGTCCAGCATCACTAGATCTTGTGCGAAGCACGGCACCATTCTTGGCCGCTTCCTTGGCGCGAGGCTGGTGCCCGGCCTCGTTCTGTGCACTCCCGCGCTGGCTTGCAGCTCTCCCGCAGAAGCGGCAGAGCAGCTGAGGTTGCTCTTTGACAAGGTGGTTTTAAGGGTTTACCCCTTTCCCGCAGTGTCAGCGTGGGCAGGAGAAAGGGAAATGTTAGCGTGTGTAATTTTTGTAGGAACTCTGAGGAGAAACTGGTGAAATTGATTAGAACTCAGAACCACCCGGCAGGGGAAGCAGTGTGTCTTCTCGCAGGCGATATTCCTTTCCTTTCCAACAGTGTTACATTTCTCCCCAGGAAGAGTGATCGTTGCCACGAGTAAAGGAGTCTACATCTTGGTCCCATTACCTCTGGAAAGACAAATACAGGACCTGCTGGCCAGCCGCAGAGTGGAGGAGGCTTTGGTCTTGGCGAGAGGAGCCCGGAGGAACATTCCAAAGGAGAAATTTCAGGTTTGTAGTTAACTGCTCACAAGGAGGCAAGCTGTAAGTCCCCGGCTGGAAAACACACGGTGTCGCCCCGCGGCACGACCCCCGCTCCATGTCAGGACGTGCTCACCATGGGTACAGGTGAGAACGTGATGGGGCAGCCCCACAGCTCGCAGGGCCTCCGGCCCTGGCCTGATTCTCGCGCTTACGCTGGGCTGTATTTCTAGTCGCTCTCTTTTTCAGCGGACCTTCCGAGAAGAATCAAGAAAAGCAAAGTCTGGTTAACTGGGCTCTCACTTTAGAGTCTGTATCTGTCAGGAGAGGGCTGGATGCAAGTCTGGATTTTTTTCGCCTATGGGGAAAGCACCGCTAACTGTACTGATGGAGTCCTGCCTCGGGAAACCATCCGGTTGATGCCTTTAGGAGGAAACATTTCATGCGCTGAGGTCACAGCTGTAAACGCAGTTGGTGTAATCAGTGTCATTGTGTGAATCGAGTTCCCTGAAACTTGGGATCGGGTGGCTGGGATCGGGTGGCTCTGATCGGCTCTTGGGTCATCCCGGCCACTCTGCCCACTAGAGTGTAATAAACGGTGCTAATGCGTACGTGTGCGTCTGTGGCTGTCAGCGTGGATCAGGGAGCGTTCTTGGGAGTTAGTGATGTCCAGGTTTTAGGCGGGAGTGAGACTGCGTGGCCGGAAATGACACGTTGTGTCTGCAGTCGCTGCCTGAGAGCGGCATAGTGCATGAGCAGGGCAGCCAGGCCGCCCTTGTCCTTGGAGGTGAGGGATCTGGAGGGCGTTTTCCGCCAGTGTCACCTTTGTAGCTCCCTTCTGTTTGGCCGAGTTCCACGTGCATTCAGCAGGGGGCAGCAGAAGCAAAAAGAAGAAAGCTGCTCTTTGGGTCCCAGTGCTGGCCCGGTTACCTCAGTTCCCTGCTGCTGCCGGGCATGGCCAGCACACGTCAGCGAGCCGGCGGGCACAGGCTCGGAGCGCGTCTTCAGCCCACTGCCTCTCGGCTGCGCCCTCTTCCTGTGCTCTGCCATCTGCACAGTGTTGGGGTCCGGCAGTGCCGTGCCGGCGCTCACAGTTGGGGTGCTGGTGGGAGTGTCTCCGCCGTGCCTGAGCACACGTGCACACTTGCACTGTGGCATTTGCTCTCGGAGGCGCTCAGTGTTCTGTGTCTGATTTCTTTTCCTACTCTGCCAAGAGCAGAGGTTCACGGGCAGTACCAGGTACAGTTGCGAGTCGCCTGCTCGCTAGTCTGGAATCTCTGGGTTCCTGTCTTTCCCGCCTGTGCCCGCTTCTCCTGTGTTGCTGCAAACTCCTGTCCAGCCGGGAGGGACAGCTGCAGGGTTCGGTTGGCCTTGGCCTTTGTCCTCAGTGCCGTCGCCGTGGGTTACAGTGGTGGGCATGCGGCGCCTGCCCTTTCCCGAGTCACCTGTACAGCTCCCACCGCCTCCGCGCGGGCGGCCTCCCTCTGCGCTGCCAGCCCCCCCAGTGCACCTCCAGGCCTGCTGCCCAGGGCCGTCCCGCCCTGGCCTCGGCCCCCTGCAGACGGCTGTGGACGGGTGCTCAGCCTCGCACCCCTGCCTCCAAGGGGGCAAGCAGGTGTTGGGCCTGTCAGAGGTCAGCTGCCCTGTGTGGAACGGGCGTTTAAGATTGTTTCTAAAAACCATCTTTTTTCATCCCCAAAAGAATTACCATAGCACCTCCTGTTCTTGGAGACTGAGAGAGTTAGAGGGGCGCTTCCCCCTTGCCTTTGGGTGGGGAAGGGCCCTGCAGCCGCGAGGGGTCCAGTGCCTGGCCGTTTCTCGTGGACAAGCTGGGTGTGACGGAGAGCCCCGCCCACGGCTGACTGGTCCCTTTTGTACTCTTGCCATGCGGAGGGCCTTTGTCATCTCCACCCTCTGAAATGGAATGGCATCCCTGTGTGACAGCTTGGGCCCGCTGCCTCTTGCTTCGTGTTGGGTCGGGTAACTGGGCCAGACTAAGGTAGGTCGGAGGTAGCTGGTTTGGGCTCCGGCCGTGTGCTGTGTGTGACATCTCCGAAGCGGTTTCCGCTGGGCCCAGGACACAACCTCAGCCATGCCTCCGAGAGCATGGTGGTGCGCCTGTGCAGCTTTTATGAGGCTCCGCACTGAAAAAGGAAGTTGCACCAGTACTGAACATACGCAGATTTTTTCTTCTTGTTATTCTCGAAACAGCATGGTGTAACAGCGATTGTAGTGTTGCTGCCACCTTGGGTATCACACATAGGTCAGAGATGACGCAGAGTCTATGGGAGGATTGCGTGGGTTCTCTGGAAACACGACACCATTTTAGAAAGAGCCCTGAATGGGGCCCGAGGTTGGTATCTCTGGAGTCCTGGAACCAGTGCCGTCTGTCACCAAGGGAGGGACCAGTCTGACAGATTCCGTATGCACCTCATTCTTTCTGTAGGTTGTGACTTCACGTCCTGGGTTGTGGGTGAGTGTTGCTTCCCGCTCTGGCGGCTCAGGTGTTCAGAGGTGTGAGCCCCCCTCTCTCCTTGCAGGTGATGTACAGAAGGGTTCTACAGCAGGCCGGCTTCATCCAGTTTGCTCAGCTTCAGTTCCTGGAAGCTAAAGAGCTCTTCAGGTAATGGAGGGGCTGCAACTGCCACCGAGTGCCCCGTGCCGGAGACCTGTGCCACCCACCCCAGCTGTGGCCCAGGGGCGGCTTTGCCTGTGGACCTGGGCTCTTCCCTGCAGGCCTCGTTATCCCTCCGGTGTCAGAGGCCTCCTGGGTGTAGCCAGATACGCCTGTCCTTGTGGGTGCTGTGGGACGTGTCCTCAGCTGGCCGACGGAAGCTGGCCCATTGGTCGCTGGGACAGAGCCCACCACCTCTCCTGTAGCATCGTAGCTCTAGGTCGTGTGGAGCCCCTTCTTTCAGAACTGTTCAGCAGTGTGCGGATTAGTGTCGGGAATGTGAGGGCCTCAGGGACCCTGGGTAGCCCCTCCAGCCGCAGCTCAAGCTGACATTCGCCCTTGGGTCTTCCCGGCAGTACAGGAGTCCTGAGGTCCCACTTGCTCTTTCACTGTCTCCCTGTCCTTTCTAAGGGCCAGGCTGGCTCCTGATTTATAGTGCTCCGGTAGATTTGCAAATGAGGGTGGGTTTTCCGCGTGCATTGTGTACCCCGCTATCCTATGCCCACCTCAGCCTTGCCCTGCCCAGCCCTCCGCATGCCCCTCCACGTGGCTTGACACTGTCGTTGCAGAAGCGGGCAGCTTGATGTTCGGGAGCTGATCTCCCTACACCCCTTCCTGCTGCCCACCTCCTCCTCCTTCACCCGCGCTCACCCTCCGCTCCACGAGTACGCAGACCTGAACCAGCTGACGCAGGGCGACCAGGAGAAGATGGCCAAGTGCAAGCGCTTCCTCATGAACTACCTGAACGAGGTGCGCAGCACCGAGGTGACCAACGGTTACAAGGAGGACATCGACACGGCCCTGCTCAAGCTGTACGCCGAGGCCGACCATGACAGCCTGCTGGACCTCCTCGTCACCGAGAACTTCTGCCTTCTGACGGACAGCGCGGCCTGGCTGGAGAAGCACAGAAAGTGAGTGTCTTCCTGCAGCCTCATGGGTGTCCCTGTCACCCGTCACACCCGCCTTCCTGTGCTGCACCCTGGGGGACACTTGGGAGGCTCCTCAGCCAGCAGGGCCACACGGGGACCGTCATGAAATGCCAGTGACAGCACACTTGTCACCGTTAAGGGGTCTTGGAGGCATCTGCTCGTGCCCGTTCTTCACAGTGTGGAGTGGCCAGGGCGTTGTTACTAGACGGAGATGCTTGTCCATGTCCCCGTGGCCGCAGCCTGTGGAGGATGCGCCTGTGGAGGATGACAAGGGTTGTAGAGTGGCCTCCGCAGTCACTGAGGCGGGGTAAGATCAGTGTCCGGATGGTGGGGGAGAGCGGGACCTCGACCTTGGTGAGCCCGGCTCTCGGCTGGAAACTGCGCATCGTGAGCGGGCGCTGGCGAGCGGTGCTGAGTGCCGGGTGGCGGGCGTGGCCTGGCCAGCAGCTCCTCCCTGTGCCGTTTGTTATGGGGCCCACTTTCTAGGCCTTGGGTTTCTTCTCTTCAAAAACAAGGGCTGTCAGGAAGCCCTCGTTCCATGGAAATAGTAAGGTTCCCTGTGTGTGATTTTTATGAGGAATTTGAAACAGCAGCAACACCGGCCGAATCCCCAGAGACTCTGGCTCACACGGCTTCCGCCACTTTCTGTCGGCCGCTCCGGTGTGCTGCAGGATGGCGTCACAGGCTGCACCCCCGCCTAAGACGGGGAGCCAGAAGTGTTTCACGTGCATGTTTCAGATTTGGGGTTTGTCTTGTTATTTATCTCGTTGCTGAGATAAATACTCAGCACCCAAAGTTAAAGGAGGAAAAGTTGATTTAGCTCACAGTTTGTGCAGGTTTCAGTCCCTAGTCGGCTGGCTCCGAGGCAGAGGGGCATCGCAGAGGAGAAACAGTCCATGGCAGGCAGAAGGCAGCGAAGCAGCAGGTGACCAGCAGCAATGCTGTTTCCGCCCCTTGTATTCTATTCAGGCTGCACACCCTTAGAGCGGGTCACATTCACACCCAGGGTGGCCTTCCCATTATCCACACTCAGAACTATGCCAAACCAATCAGTGGGCTAATTTAGCCCCACATGCCTTTGATCCCAGCATCACGCACCCTAGATCCAGCCACCTCTGAAACTACGCCCCATGACTGCCTGAAGCTTTGGGGGACATCTAGACGCAAGCCGTAACGGGGTTCTTTGCATAGAATTTACTGGTTGAACATCACTAATCTGAAATCCCAGAATCTAAAATACTTCAAAATCTGAAATTCTCCAAATCTGAAATTTCTTAAGGGTCATGATGGTCTTAAAATCCGTTCTGATTTTGGAGTATCTTGACTCTGAGATTCCCAGGTTAGGGATGCCAATCTGCATTCTACTTCAGAGCCAGGACGCACATTGACATCGTGTGGTGGAGACTGGGGACGGGAGGACCTGTGATCACCGTGACTTCCCCGCAGCTTTAGTGTCTTGAGCATTTGCTCTTTAAGTGAAGGAATCCAACTTCTCATGGGGTCAGCTGACTCAATACCTGCCAGGCAGGAGGAGGCCACAAGCCTGGCTCACCTGCTCAAGGGAGGGCACTTCCCTGGGCAGAGCCTCCGTGACCGCTGTCTTTTCCATTTACAGTGGGCACGTGGGAGGTGAGGAAGTTAACCTACCTGCCCAGGTCCAAGTTCACAGGTCATGAAGCCTGAATGGAAAGGCAGGTCCTTGAGCTCCAGGCTCCCCCAAGTCGGTCACCCCAACTTTCCATTGTGTGCAGGGCCTGCACACCACGGGTGCCCACTGCTGTGGACCAGGCGGGGACCTTCAGTCCTCTCTGCCGTGCGCAGACAGCATGCCTGTCCCGCTGTCCTGACCTCGGGATGGACTGGTACAAACAGGGTATCGTATTAGTGTTCGAAGCAAATTGCAAAGCACTTCCAACTATGATTTTTCAAGTAGTATCATTATAGCTTTCTTTTTCGGCTCATCTTTGACTGGAGTCAGATCCATCCTGGAGACCAATAGAGCATGTATTTCTGATACTTTAAATAAAATAAGCAGTGCTAAGGACTTTGGGGCGGGGCTGTTGCAGGGGTTGGGAGGGCTCGCTCCCACCACCTTGTCTCTTCCAGGTATTTTGCACTGGGGCTGCTGTACCACTACAATAACCAGGACGCCGCTGCGGTTCAGGTGAGCTTACGGGATTTCCACGTCATTTTGAAGCGGTACCGTTTAACTTAGTGTTACTTTTAAAAAAGTCACAAATTGATAGAGACCATGTTTGCCTGATCCATGACCTTGTTTATATGGAACAAAAATAATACCGTTTTAGGAAGTGAATTCTTGGGGAACGATTGCCCCAGAGTTTTCTTTTCTTTGTCTTTACATCTCTCTAAAGAACATTACCAAAATTGAAGTTTTGAAGACTGAAAAGATGAAAAGTATTAAGGATTTGTTTTTTAATAAATATTAGCCGACACATAATTGTGCACATGGGGTACGGGGTGATAATTCAGTGCATGTGTACACTGTGGAGGGCTCAGATCAGGGTAACTGGCATTTCTGTTTAAAGAAATTTATCATTTCTTTGTGTTGGGAACCTTTGAGCTCCTCTGTTTTAGCTCCTGCTAAAGTGCATAATAAATGTGTTCCTGAGTTGAGAACACGGGGGCTTACTTCTCCTGCCTGACTCTTCTGGCAGGCGTATCTGACGGACCCACCTTTCCCTGGCTCTGATAACCACTATTCACCCGACTTATGAAACCACCTTGAAAATAAGACTTCTTGCTGAGCCACACAGCATGTGACATCAGGAGTGATCAGAAAATTAAGGCCGCTGAGTTTATAGTTTTCTCTGTTAATGATGATAATAGCTGCAAAGAGCTGAGTCATAACTCTGCCCACGTCACAGTGATTAGGCCGGCAGGGCCAGGCCCAGTCAGCGTGGGCTGTGTTGGAGCCAGTGCTCCCGGGGGTGCAGCGCCAGAGCGGAAACCAGCATGGGCGGCTCTGGCATCCGCAGCCCGCTCACTCAAAGCCATGTCCTGCGTTCTCGAGGACTTTCTTCCCTGCTGCCCCCTGCACTGCATTTTGTAACACTTTTCTCACATGGCTTTTTTGTTTAATTTTGTGAGGGGCCAACGACATCGGCCACATTCACCAGACTACCATCAGCTCCCTGACAGTAGAGCCAACTGGCGTTTAGTCTGTGGTGGCTTTGGGGAGCTGTCATGATAACAAGATTGCAGAATAAAGCAAAGAATGGGCTCTCACGAACACGCACCCCACGTCAGTGTAGATTTAAGTATCACAGATTGTTTGTTTATTTATTTGTTTGTATTTCTGGGGGTTGAACCCAGAGGCTTATACATGCTGGGCAGGTGCTATACTGCTGAGCTACGCTCCCAGCACTTTTTCAATTTTTACTTTGAAATGGGGTTCTTCCTGTGTTCTCTAGCATGGCCTTGAACTTGTGATTCTTCTTGCCTCACTGTCCTGAGTAGCTAGGATTACAGGGATGCCCCGCTGGGCCTGACTTACATTTTCTATCTTTTAAAACATGGTGTTCTCAGAATTACAGCTTGATGTAAGCACAATAATATTAGCAACACTAAATGGAAAAAGAAATTTGCAAACTCAAAATAATACAAAGTAAATCTCCATATGTGGCAAAATTCTATGAACAAAAGCACTTTTCAGTGTATAAGGGGCTAAGTTATTTGGTTGAAGGGTCCATTGTTAAGGAAACTAATACAGGTTGAGCGTCTCTAATCTGAAAATCTGAAACGGTTCAAAATCCAAACTTTCTGAGTGCTGGCGTAATGCCAGAAGTGGAAAATTCTACACCGTAAAACTTAGTTTTGAGCAAGAAATTACTTAAAAGGCGTCAGACCCCCTCCAGGCTGTGTGCCCGGGGTTTACACGAAGCATACGTGCATTTCATGCCCAGATTTGGGCCCCAACCCCAAGTGTGATGCGAATATCCCGAAAGCCCAGTGGGCCTGACATCCGAAACCCTGTGTTCCCAGGCACCCGCTAGCAGCCGGCTGAGGGCGGCTCGCCCTTGTCGTTGAGGAGCGTGGCGTGCTGGCGTCAGAGTGACAGGCTCGCGTTGCTGCCTTATTTTCGAGCTTCTCCGCAGCCGGGTGGGGCTCAGAAGTGCAGCCAGGTGGATGGGGTTGAGGCCTACGGCAGGTGACGTGGGGGACCTTGTGTGTGGCCTCCATCCCCCCTGCCCTGCATGCTGCTGCCTCTGTCGGTCCCAGGGGTGAGCTTCAGTGATCATGGAGGGATGTTTCTGTCGTAGTGGCAGAAGGCTTTCATCATTGGGATCTGTCCTGAGCTCCCTGTGCAAAAGACAGCGGGAGTCCTTGGAGACAGTCCCCAAGGCTTTTCGAGAGGCCCAGCATCTGCCCACCAGGCTCAGAGGACTCAGGGCCCCAAGCCGTGATGGAGAAAAGAAGGTGGGGTGAGCCAGTGCCAGCAGGGGAGCTGCCTGCAGCCCAGGCCCGGGCAGTGCTGCTCCATTTGTGAAGAAACGTGTCAGATGCCTGCCGCTCTCCATGAATGTCATCTGCTCTTGTGTTACGGATTATACAAAGAAGGAAGGAGGGGTAGGAGGGACAGAAAGGAAAAGAAGGAAGGAAGGAATTTGGTGGCTTGCTTTCTTGATCTTCTGGACTATGTCTTTTTATATTTCTTTATCCAAAAATTTGAATTTGTGCTCAGCATTTGCAGTTTGTCCTGTACAGGTTGAGTACTGCTTATCCAAAACACGTGGGCCCAGAAGTGTTTCAGATTTTAGTTTCTCAGATCTTGGAATCTAGACTCTACTGGTAGAGCAACTCAGAATTCTGAAATCTAAAATACAGCATCAGCGTGCTTAGAAAGCCTCAGATTTGGGGTTTTGGGTTCGGGATGTTCCGTGTGTATTTCTAAAAGTCTTGAAAGGCCAAGGGTGTGTGCAGGCGCTCTGAGCTACCTCCACAGGATGCGTAGCATTGTGTTCCGTTCCTGTGCAGCTGTGGGTGAACATCGTGAATGGAGACGTCCAGGACGCCACGCGCGCAGACCTGTATGAGTACGTCGTGGATTTCCTCACCTCCTGCCCGGACCAGCAGCTGGTGTGGACCTATGCTGACTGGATGCTGCAGAGGAGCGAGGAGGTTTGTGCGTCCTCGGGGATGGTTTTTTCAAGGTGCTAATGGAAACAGGCCCTGGGCCTCTTGGTCCTAGGTAGGACAGAAGCTACGTTGCAATCTCCTCCTCTGTGTTTTCTTTCTTTGTTTTTGGTTTTTTGAGCTAGGGCCTCGCTAGGTAGCTCAGGCTGTTCTTGAACTCTCAGCAATCCTTCGCCTCCCGAGTGCTAGATTATAGGCATGTACCACCACGCCTGGCTCGTCCTGTGTTTTCATTGCCCCCATTTATTTGTATGTTCATTCATTCATTCATTCATTCAAAGACAGGGACTCACTGTGTAGTTCAGGCCTTGAACTCACTATGTAGCCCAGGCTGGCCTCAATCTCAGTGCAATCTTCCTGCCTCAGCCTCCTAGTATCAGGATGACAGGCATGCAGCTCCACATCTGGCCCTTTGCCCTTCTAATGCCTTTGAACCTCTGTGCTCTGGGTCCGGAGCCTGTGTTGTGGTGCCTCTGAGTTGCACCCTCGGAGCCCTCTTTCCCGTAGGAAGCCCCCACTCTTGGTGCCTGGGTGTTTCACTCCCCCCTCGCAGCTGGAGTCTGGCACTGCTGTGTCCTGCAGCGGGTCGGGTTGCCTGCAGGGCGTGGTCTTGGGGGGGTGACAGCCCAGGCCTTTACCCTACCACCCGGGCCACTAGCATCCTGGTCTCTCCCCTCTCTAGACACAGGCTGTGGGTGGAGACAGTGGTACGGGGAGCAGAACCCGGACCATTAGTGACGGAGTGGGGCCGTGTGGCCGGGGCAGAGGGCCCGAGTCCTCAGTTGGCGCTCACAGATGATGGTGACAGAAAGCAAGCATCTCCGCTCCCGCAGCTGAACGCCTGCATGTTGCCCTGGCCCCCAGAGAGATAGTTCGCTGTGAAGCAGGGCCTTGTCCTCAGCGAGAACCTTCTGAGCATTGCTTCTGCCTGCCAAAGCCGGCAGGAGCCTGTGCTCCTGACACCACCGTGTGCTGTCATCCCGCCCTCCCTCCATGCCCCATCCACACCCTATAGAGCGGCCCACCATGCCTGCCCATGCTTGGGACACGCTTCTCTGTGCTCGGGCACATGGCCAGCAGGAGGTACCCAGGTCCATGCACCCACTCTCATCTCCTGCCTGCACACAACCCCACCAGGTGGGTGTGAGTTACTGAGGCCCAGAGAGGCGTGGTCTCTTTGCCGAGGTCATGGAGGTGCTGGAGGGGACGCACAAACTCAGCTGAAAGAACCCAGAGTTCACGCCGCTGTCGGGTCTGTGGATTGTGCATGTGGCAGAGGTGATACCTGAGTGCCCTGGGGAGCCAGCCTGGGTGTAACTGCCTCGCCGGCATCTCTGGAAGATGGAGTCAGACCGGCATGCGCCCAGGGAGCTGCCTGGAGACTGCCCAGGGTGTAGCTCAGGCTGGCCATCTGCCATTGGCCGTCCACCATCCACTGCCCTCTGGGCGGGCAGGTCGCTGTGGCCTGCGCGCTGACCTCAGCACTTCCTGCTGGTCCGCTTACCCGTAGGCCAGCGCCGTCAGAGTGGGTGACCCTCACGGTGCCGAGTGGTTCCCCTGTGGTTCCTCAAAACCCGTCACCAACAAGTGCGTCTTTCTTCCGTTTCCAGCATGTTAAGAGAACTTCTGGCAGGATGTGTGTAGAGCGTCCCAGCCTAGAATGATTTTCTGGTTTTGCTTTGTGCTTTTTGGTGAGTGCTTCCTGCTGAGCTTTTTCTCCTGACGAGCATGTCCTAGCCACTGGATGGCACTCCGATTGACACAGTCAGAGCTGAGGCTGTGAAACGTGCTCTGTCACTGTACTCTCCACACCGACTTCGTCTAAGGCACAGACCTGTGGCAGCCAAAATGAGGATGAGGCAGGGCGGCCTCGAGCCCCCGCCTGACGAGCTGTGTTCTGCCTTCAGGTTGGAGTTCAAGTCTTCACCAAGAGACCGCTGGATGAGCAGCAGAAGAATAGTTTCAATCCAGACGATGTCATCGGCTGCCTCAAGAAGTATCCTAAAGCCCTGGTCAAATACCTGGAGCATCTCGTGGTGGATAGGAGCGTGCAGGTGAGCACTTCTGAGCACCTGGGCTGTAGGCCGCAGCACCACGGTGGCCGCGTAGGAGGAGGATCTGACTGTCCACTCCTGGCGGATGGTACTGAGACCAGGGTCAGGGCCCTCGGCCGCGCGGGCTGTACTGATGTCCACGGAGCCCGAGGCTGGGTAGGAGGGACCTGTCCACGTCCCGAGTCAGGTCCCGCCCTTGCATCCTTCTCCTCCCTCTTCATTACTCTCGGAGGGGGCGGGAGAGCCTGCACGCTCGTATGGCGTCCCTAAGCCCTGTGGCCCTTACTCCCCGTCGCTGATACGGTACCAAGGCAGTGGGCTTGTGGAGAGGAGAGGGTTGCGTGGCTGAGTGCTGGGTTGCGCCCCAGGCTCTGTCCACTTGTTGCTCTGCACCTGCAGTGAGGCAGCGAGCACGCTAGGTATGCACGGTGGGGCAAAGGCACTCTCACCCAGGACGAAGGCGCCAGGCACACAGTCCCGGGCAGGGCCACTCCCTGGTGACCTGCGGACCTCCCAGTGGCAGCACCTGGGGACCCTGCCTCATCCCGGGGCCTTTGAGCGCAGCACACAGCTCGCAAGCGTGCCCTGTGTGCACTGCGGGGCGTTGGGTCTGGGTGTTCAGGAGTCGCCAGCTCTGCTCAGCACAGCCTGGTCAGGGCAGCTCTGCAGGTCTGAGACCCCAACGCCATGTGCCACCCACTGTGCTTCCCAGAAAGAAGAGTACCATACTCACCTGGCTGTCCTCTACCTGGAGGAGGTGCTGCGGCAGAGAGCGGCCTCCAGCTGCAGCAACACCACGGCCACCGAGACGCAGACCAAGCTGCGGCGCCTGCTCCAGAAATCTGACCTATACCGGGTGCACTTCCTGATAGGTGAGGCGCGCTGCGTCCTCTCTGGAGAGGGAGAACCAGCCAGGGCCTGTGAGAGCTCCGTCCTCTCTCCCAGGGCAGTGCCCACACGGCCTGCTTACCTTGTGCTGGGTTCTGTTTCTATCTGTATTTTTGGGATGCTGAGGTAGAGCCAGGGCTAGTGCACCCGAGCAAGTTCTCTGCAGCGCTGTCACACCCCCAGCCTCAGGTGCTAGCTCCTAAAGCCCCACTCCCACCTGCACGGTGAGGCCCAGGCTTCCAACATGAGCCACCGGGGTCACTCGCCCCTGTTGTGGCAGTGCCCCTTGTTGCCGGTGTTCAGGGATGGACCGGGCCAGGGAGGGCGTAGTAACGCTTCCTGCCTGATCTGTGCACTGGGGGGGGCTGGGAGTTTAATACAGATGAGAGGCGTAGAAAGGTGGAAATTGCCACAGCTCTCTTCCTGAGCCTCAGCATGGGGCCACGACGTGGTCATGTGTTCACGCTGTTCACTGTGGCCCTTGCCCCTGAACTCGGGCTGGCGCTCGAAATAGTCTCCCACGTGGGGCAGGAGTGAGCCTGTGTAGTCTTCCTGCTCCGGACAGGCCGGCGTGTGGAGAGCCTTGCTGGCCCTTGGCCCTCTGAGGCCGGTCCTCGGTCAGGACTGATGCTGTCTTTGGGGTCTGTCTTTTCCTTCTGCCCTCGAAGCGTCGGCGCTGGGAAAAGAACAGAAAACTTCGCTTTATCCTCAGATTTTGTCAGCTACTGTAGATGTGGGTTTTCATATTCCTTTCAGTGGAGCAGACCTGGAATGGGAATGAAGGGGTTGGCACATTTTGGGGAGCCTGCGTGTGTGGGGGGGGTGCGCAGTCGGCCTCCTCGTCCCTAGTTCTGCGTCTGTGATTGGACCCGCGGCAGGTGGAGGGCGTACTGTGAGAAGTGTCGGAGCGGGCACAGTAGCCCGTGTGCGGGTCACTGCCCCCAGGCAGAGCATCGCGACTTGTCAGGCATGAGAGTCACGCAGGCCTGGGGAGTGCGGCGAGAAGGAGTCAGCACGTGCGGACCCCACACTCTCCCCGTGGGACTTGAGCACAGGGGCACCGGGCGCCCAGCGGGGTCCTGGAACCTTCCTGGGGTGCAGGGTGCCCATGTCCTTGGACATGGCCCCAGGAGGGCAGGTCAGGGGTGAGGGGGTCTTGGGCCTCCTTCCATCCTAGACCCCTGGGTGTGTTGGTTCTGTAGACCTCACCCTGGAGGTCGTCTCCTGGTTCACAGGAACGGGGCGCTCCGCTCGTCTGAGAGCCTGGGGGACGGTGCTTCCCATGCGGCGGTGACTGCTGCCCCTTCCAGCCCAGAACTGTGGGGGTCGGTGTGGGCCCTGGGTCCCCGGCTGCCTCTCAGCAACTTCTGTCCCGCAGAGCGGATCCGGGGCGCCGGGCTGCCCGTGGAACGCGCCATCCTGCACGGGAAGCTGGGCGAACACGAGCAGGCTCTGCAGGTCCTGGTGCATGAGCTTGGGGACACGGCGGCGGCAGAGGACTACTGCCTGTGGAGCTCTGAGGGCCGGGACGCCGCCTGCCGCCAGCGCCTCTTCCACACGCTGCTCACCATGTACCTGCAGGCCGGGCCCGTGGCCCCCGAGCTCGCCATGGCTGCCGTGGACCTGCTCAACCGCCACGCCGTGGAGTTTGACGCCGCCCAGGTGCTGCAGCTGCTGCCTGGCTCCTGGTCGGTGCAGCTGCTCCGCCCGTTCCTCACCGGCGCGGTGCGGGGCAGCATCCACGCCAGGAGGACTGTGCAGGTGGCGCTCGGCCTGGCCAGGTCGGAAAACCTGCTGTATGCAGCTGATAAGGTGGGTGTGGCCCGGACGCAGGGCATCGAGTCGGGGGCAGGGGGCAGGGGCTGCCCCTCAGACACAGACCCTGGGGCACGGGCCGCCGTCAGAGCAGCTGCGCGTGTTGGCTGTGTGACGTGCACATACCAGGCACCCTCGGGTTCTCAGTGCTGTGGTGCCGCCTCACATGGCATTGTCGTGCACGCAGGGCAGGACTGAGGCTCAGGAAGTCACAGCGCGCATGGGCAGGGTGCCCCCACCACGCCACAGCCCCCACTTTCCACTCCCCCTCGGGCGACCCCTTTCCGCACGGCTGGCCAAGCAGGACCCCGGTGTCTATCCCAGTGAGGCCTCTCCATGACCACTGCACCGCCTGCCTTGGCCACGTGAGCCTTCCCAGCGGGGACACACTGTCCCCCCACCTGGACGCGAGTGCCGGGCAGCGCCGTTCCCGTGGCGAAGCCACCCCTCACCCTGGTGCAGAAGAGTCCCCCCTCCGTGCACCTGGACGCTCTGGGCCGCTTCCGTGATTTTCCCTCTTGACCCGGAGTTCCCTGAGGGCGGGCAGCTCTGTGCATCCTCTGCTGCCCTGGGGCTTGGCCTGAGGTGCCGAGCTCCGGAGGAGGAGCAGGCGTGAGGAGGAGGTGGACCTGCCAGCTGCCACGCACAGCCCCGCTGGGGGGATGCGGTGAGCCTTGCGGCAAGACCGTGCGAGGCTCGGGTTCTGTGCACCGCGAGGGCGCCCGGCCCCGCTGCTTAGTGGCAGCGCTGTTGCCAGGCGTCAGGCACCGTGCGGCTGTGACCGAATCGTTCCGTGCACCTTGCTGTCTGTTTCGACCACAGAGAGGCACAGACAGGAAGGGACAGTTTGGTCCCCTGGGCTCCATGAACATGTGACTTGGTGACAGGCCTGGACCCAAGCAGCCAGCGCCGCAGACAGGTGGAGGGAGGAGAGAGATGCCAGGCGCCAGCAAGGACTGTGGTCAGGGAGTTTGCAGCTTTTTCCCTTATCCACGTCCTAAGGGTGGTGGTTGTGTTGGTTACTTTCCTCTCTCTCTCGTTGTTGAGACAAAATACCCAACGCCCAAACTAAGGAAGGAAAGGTTTATTTAGCTCACAGTGCTTGGAGGTCTCAGTCCGTACTTGGCTGGCTCTGAGGCAGGGTGGCACATGGCAGAGGGCAACCGTTCATGGCACCAGAAGACAACAAAAGCAGCAAGAGGGAAAAGGGAGGAGCAGCAGAGAGCAGCCTCTCTCCCTCCCTTACACTGTGTGCAAACTACCTGCCCCAGGGTGGGTGTAGCTCTCCCACCCATAATCCCAGCATTGGACCATGAGTCAGTCATAAACTCTAGAAGCCCGCCCCGCGACTGCATGAGGCTTTGGGGCAACATCGAGACACAAACCATAACAGAGGCGTTCATTCCCTCCTCTGCGCACAGCCTGAGGGAGCCGCGTGACGGCCGTCCCTGTTAGTGCGGTCGCCATGACGCGTGGTCTCCTTGGGAAGCCCCTCGGGCCTCCGCTGGCCTCTCTCTCAGTCTCCTTTCTGTTGCAGATGAAGCTGAGAGGCAGCGCCATCCGGCTGTCAGACCAGAAGCTCTGCCAGCTGTGCCAGCACCCCTTCGCGGAGCCCGCATTCGTCCGGTACCCAAATGGGGGGCTTGTGCACCCCCACTGTGCTGCCAGCAGACACAGGGCCCCCAGCTCCCCCAGCCCTGGCACTCGGACTTGAAGAGCTGGGCTCGAGGCCGCAAGGGTGACTGAGTTCTCTTCCGAGTCTGCCGGACACAGAGCAGGCTGCCACGGGCCGGTGCGGGCCCAGGGGGGTGGCGTTGGGTGCCAGGAGTCATCTGTGCCGAGAGCCAGCCCCTCCCTGCGGGCGCTCTGTGTGAGCATAAACGCGACCCTGAGACGCTGGCTGGAGGCAGACGGGGTGGGGGGTTTGCTGGGCGGTGCAGTCATCCACAGCGAAGTGAGGGGCCTTCCGTGGGGTACTGATGCCACGCCGCAGTGGAGGGCTCTGTGGGGCCCGTCTCCACCGGGGGCTCTGCCTTCGCCTGTGCTCGGCTGGCCTCGGGGACGTGGTGTGTGTTCCTTCTTCCCCCGGCTCCTGCCTTGTCACCCAGCACGCCTGTGCTTCTGGCTGCCTGGTGAACGGGGCTGTGTGTGGGACCTGCCGAAGCCCCAGGGCAGCCGCTCGCCCGTCCTGAGGAGCAGCGGTGGGGCACCTCGGGCAGCTGGGCAGCCCTGTGTCCCTCAGCCTCGGCCTGTGGAAGACTAGAGTGTGACCCTGCGCAGCCGGGTGTTGCATTTGAACTTGTAGCATCTTCGTAGTTTTTCTCCAGTTTGGAAATTTACCTGCCGCATTCACTAGGGATGTCTTCCTCAGTGACACGTGCCTGCTGCTGAAGACCTGGGAACCTAAAGAGAGACCCAGTGCACAAAGTGTGCCTCACAGGAGGGCCGGGCTGCCTCTGCCTGGGGAGTGGCTCCCGGGGCGTCTGCATGGCCCTGAGGGCATCGGGCCGGGCTGCCTTACCTCCCTGCACCTCTGTGCCTGCCCTGAACTTGCGGAAAGCGGCCTTCTGCCCGTCACCATGGGGGTCCCTGCATCTCTGTGTCCGTCCCTGGAGCGCTGCAGCCACTGTCACTTCACTGCCCGCCCGTGAGCCTGTGCGTGGATGGAGGCTGGCATCGGCTGGCGCAGTGACGAGGGCTCAGAACACGCTCTCCACCCGCCGAGCCTCGAGGCTGCAGAACGCTTCGCCATGCTCAGGCTCGGTTTACCTCTCAGGCTGCAATGAGCCGAGAACAGACACAGGAAGTTCTCCCTGTTGCCGTACTTTGTACTGCATGAGCCGTGTGGATTCGAGGCCTGGCTGCCACTCCTGTGGATGGACGGCTGTTACAGAGCGCATGCCTTACCCAGGTGTCACCGGCTGGGCCTCGAAGTAGGCCTGAGGTAGGCCTGAATTCCTCGGAGAGCAAGTTACTGTTCATGCGATGTTGCACTTTCGGAAACACTGTTCCTTCCCTCTGTACACAAAGTGGGTGCGGTCTTGGAAAAGGCTCCTGACTGCCTGTTTCCAGCGTGGGGACGCAGTCTCTCGGAACGCTGAGGGCTGCTCTGAAGCAAACGTCATCCTTCCGAAGAGTGAGGGTGAGCAGCTTCCGCCCCGCCGGAGCCCGACCGGAGCGATTCCCTGACGCCGCGCACTGACGTCTCCTGTGTGAGGAGCTGTGTTCCCTGACCTTCCTCACACCCTGGAGAGGTCTCTTGGTCAGGCCCTGTTTTTCAGAAGAATTCTTTCTGCCAGGCTTGCTGTTCTGTGACTGTCCTTGGGCGGGGAGCGGTTAGAGCTGTCACTCAGACCTCCTCTCGCCAGGGTGCACGCAGCCGTGCACGACGTTCCGTGGGCAGGGCTGTTCAGCTTCATGAACTGTTCACTGCTGCTGTCTACCAGGTCCTAGAGGAGGCGCTGGGGCCGTGGGCCACGGCACAGAGCTGAGAGGGCGTGGGTGGTGGCCGCAGAGGGGTGGCACGGTCACACGGACGCACTGCCATGTGGCCCTGGCCCTGTCTTTGCTGTCCCCTGGGAACTTTTGCCCTTGCAACTTTATCCTTTATCTCCTTGGGTCCCAGATATACAAGCTGTACAAATGTAAAATTGTTAATTTTATTAAAATTCTTTTAATTCTTTGCTGTGTTTCTTTTTTAAAATAAAAACTGTCCCGGTGAATGGTGGCGTCCACACGTGCCGTCACTGATGTAAAGAGCTTCAGAGCTTGAGCATGGCACCTCCTGCCCTGCCTTGCGGGACTGAGACCCTCCGTGCGCTGAGCTGTCCCTCGGGTCTGAGGATGCTCCTGGCTGGCCTTCAGAGGTGTCCCCTGAGCAGCGGTGCCCCGGGCTGCCTCTGATCACTGCCTGCTGCTTCATCTGCAGCCTGCACTTCTAGCCCTGGGCCCCTTCGAGGAATACAGCCAGGGCTCACCGCATCACCTCCGCCTCCTCCCTAGGCCAGCGCAGGTGCTGTCGGGGCTTCCTCACCAGCTCTCGTCCCAGTTCCCTCTGTGTGGAGGGCGTGGGAGTTGGGTGCTGTGGCGCTGCTCTAACCCTGCTGACCGGGTACGTGTGGCTGGCGGCAAGGGGTCCTGACTCACCGAGTTTCAAACTGGAGAAACCAAGGCCTTGTCTGCGGAGAGCCAGCATGATGGGTCCTGCCTGGGGGTGCCTGGCACGTCCCCCCGGGAAGCAGGAGGCGACCGGAGAGCAGCGGGCTCGCTGCCCTGGAGCTGCAGGGCTGTTGCTTTGAGACACAGCTGAGAGCAGTGAGGTGGCTCCTTGGTTCCTCACGGCCGAGCTCTGCTGGCAAATCTGGGGGGATGGAAGAGGACACTGCGGGGTGCAGGAGTGGGAGACAGACATGTACACTTAATGTAGCTGCTCTGAGGGCGGGAGCAGGCGGTATGGCCTGGCATCCTGTGTCAGCGGGGGCAGAGACGGGCTGCCTCGGGAGGGCGAGCTGGGACGCCGGCTAAGGCCCATTTGCTCCTGGCCGATCTGTCATTCAGTGCACGAGATGAGCACGTGGGAGACCTGGGACCGGGTGGACCAGGGCCTCCGGTGCGCGCGGGAGCAGGTCTCGGGGACCGGGTGGACCAGGGCCTCCGGTGCGCGCGGGAGCAGGTCTCGGGAGACCCTCAGAGAGCCGGTGAAGCCCGCGTGTCCTGTGACCTCCCAGCCGGAGGAGAGAAACAGCCCTAATTCCCTCGAAGTTTGAGTCGTAGTCAAGAGACCTCAAGGCAAGAAGGGATTCGAAAGCATCGCAAGCAGCTCTGCCGAGTCCCCCTGGGCAGACAGCGGCTGCTGGGAAGCCTGGCTCCTTCTGGGCTGTGACACGGGTAACTGGTCCTGAGCAACCGCAGACTGGGTGGTGTGGATGGAGCCCTCAGTCGGGGCAGGGCTGCCCGAGGCACCCAGCACAGGTGATCCCAAAGTGTCCCAGCACCGTTAGGGCGTGGTCCTGCGTGGGAGGGTGACCCTACCCATCCCTCTGGTTCCCGGTCTGGAGCTGGGGAGCAGCAGCACCCACACAGTCTCAGTACGGCGTGCACAGCCCCTTCCTTCCCCAGCCTCCGCCAGCATGTTGAGACCGCTCAGCTCCTCTGCTGCCCTCGGCCAGCCTTCACCTGCGGCATCCCCGGCTCCTCTCCCTGGGCACCCTGGTCTTCCTGGCTGATCTGCTCTCAGGTTGCGGGGCTAAGACGGCAAGCCCACCGGCCCACTCTGCTGTTGAGCTGTCGCCTACGTGAGCTTTGACTCACGGGCCTGGTGGGGCGTGGTGGAGTGGGGTCGGTCACCCCCACTGGCTCCACCTCTGCGCTCTGCTGGTACGGGAAGTCCCCGGCCTGTCTCTGACTCTCAGCACAAGGTGGGCCGCGGCTCACGAGTACGAGAGAGAAACGCACAACTTGGCCTTCTTGAGAATAAACCACAAGACAGCGCTTCTGCAGTTGTCACTCACAAGAGGGTGAACACTTGCAAAGAGATTAGTTCTACCTCGTTCTAGGTAATTTATGAGAATATATTCACTTTATCTGAACAAAGACAGCTTACCATATTACTAACGTGGCTACATTTGACAGCAATGTGTACTAGTTTTTCAAATTGTTAAGTTTACACCATAAAATGTACCATACAGCCGTTTTTAAGTGTACGGAAAGTGGTATCAGTACATCCACGCCTTGTATGCTTCCGTCCCCTTTATCCACGCCCAGAACTTTTCTCAGCCTTGCAAACAGTCTCTGTTGCCCGGAACAGTAAGTCCCGTGTCCGCTCCCAGCCCCTGGCAGCTCCGACCACCTTCAGCCTGAGAGCTCAACTCCTGCCGCCTTCCGTGGCCAGCGGCTTCCCCTCAGCATAGCGTCCTCCGGCTCATCCCCGGTGCAGCGGGTGCCTCGCCTTCCTTTCTAACATGGAATCACGCTCCATCTCATGGCTCTTAAATGGTGTATTTAGTTACCAAAAGAGCAGGTTGCATAGACTACTTATATAGAGAGGTTGTATATAAAGTCAGCGTTGCTGTTCAGTGTACCCGCAGGAGCTTTACAGCCTCCACCCAGCCTCCACCGCCATCCGTTTATTGTCCTAGTCTCTCCACTGCACTTGAAACGGACCAGCACGCAGCCCGAGAGCGGCCGCATGCAGGCCCTGGGAATGGTTCCAACCAGAACAAGGGTCTTGTCCCCAGGGAGAGTGACCCCAGGTCTGTCCCCAGGGAGAGGCACGAGGCTCCCCACCCCTGCTGTGACCCCCAAGGTCTGTCCCCAGGGAGAGGCACGAGGCTCCCCACCCCTGCTGTGACCCCAGGTCTGTCCCCAGG